GTTTAAGACAAAACTATTCCTTCATTTTAATTTCTAAAATGTATAGAATACTTTATGGTGACTATTGACACTTAAAGACAGATGATTTATTTATATTTAATGAGAAATTCAGGCTTAGCCTGTGCAGCTATTATTCAGTAGTGCTATAAGACATATGTATAAAGGAATAAAAGACTATATACTTACAATACACACATTGGTATTGAAAAGGTGGCTGCTACTGAAAGGCACTATTTCAACTGGATGAAGCAGCAAAGAAAAGAGGCTATGTGAATGGTATAAAAGGCGTTGTACAAGGAGACCACTTATCTAAGATTCTAGTAATTAGTTCCCTAAAGTACTAGGATAATTTTTGGTAACCAACAAAATAGGGGTTAAATCATTCACATTAATTTTATATGAAATATCTCATTAATACCTAAATAATCTCAGAAACATGAACAGTTTTAATGTAGCCAATTTGATTCTTTGAAATATTAAAATAATGTAAGCTCTTTTATGCAAACCCAGTACTTTCGAGAATTCAAAAAATGTTGTAAATATATAAGGATAAGTCATAAGTTGAGAACAGTCACAGCATAAATTAGAAAACATGTCACACTATAAATTAGAGAACATAACTTCCAAAACAAAAAATGTCAAAAGGTAGACCATACAATATTTACTAGGGAAAGCTAGAGTTTAAAAGTTATCTAACTAAAGTGTATTAATAGTAACACTGATTCCAGATTAGATAAACAAAAAGTATTTATTAAGGACAATTTTATAGCACTCTCAGCTACTTTTTCCCCTTCAGGTAGCAAGATTCCCACTAGGCAGTATAGTTAATGGTCAGAGATTATAGGAGTTTCAATCTTAAAAATGAGCTGTATATGAGACTATTGTCAAATGCTATAGATATTAATTTTTTTTCAAATAGCCCATTAGTTATTGAAATAGTTTTCCTTCTGCTTTTCCCTTAAAAAAATCAAACAATATACACCCTATTGTGATTTTTGATAAACTAAGCTTCAACCAGCTCCCTATTTGCTTCATAATTTATTAGGGTTTTTTCTGCAGTGAAAATAAATTAGAATTTATTTTCCTTCAAGAGCGATATGGAAGTACGCAAGCACAGAGGTACTGCTGCATGAAGTAAGCAGAAATTCATGATACCGATTCTAGTCTCTTGGAAATAAAATATTCTCTCCTAAATGCAGTTGCAAGTGTCTGAGATACTAAATATTTATCATTTTTGCATATTGTCTCAATTACTAGGACTCTGGTCTATTCACAGAAATCAACTAACCCAATAAAATTCTAATAATTGAAAAGCATGAAATAAGCAATTATAACCCATACGATGAGCTCAGGGCTGTTAGAATAGTTTTCAGGGTCTTTTCAAATAAAAGTACAGATGGGTCATCCTACTTCCAAAATCCTCTAGAGCATGGAGAAGAAAGCTTGGGAAAACTTGATGTCTTATTCAATTTATATAGCCACCACCTCACTTTTATGTCACTCTATATGGCTTACAATATAATAATAAACACAGTACAAAAAAAACAGCATCAGAGCATTATCTAATCAATTATTCAGACTGCCAAGATGGGGCTGTATCCCACAGCCAGGGCCCAGGCTCAGGAACAAAAATTTTCAAGGTGTTATGAAAGGCCAATAGAAATGAGGCCAATCCAATATCAGTGTAAATGTTGCTTAAAAGTGGCGCCTTTGCAGAAATGGCTAACCCTTCAGCCAATACTGCTTAGTCAACAAACATGCCCCTTTTGCTGAATCAGGTAGAGACTTGAGATGAGATGGCCCCATAAGTACACTAGTTCCAAGCTATGAAGGGTTTTAAAACTAACAACACCTTGAATTGCATTCAGAAGCACTTTCTCAGATTTCACATACCCAAAAGAATTCCAGATCACTCCCATCAACCTCACTTCAACCAGTCCAACCTACACCCAAATCTAAGAAATACAAGAAAACCTGCAAAATGATTCTGATAGATTCAGTTGCATTGTTTTGTTTATCCTTTCCTAACCTAGTCCGAAAGGCCATCAGTCAAAAGTTGGCATCAAGGTTGTTGCATGACCAGAAACTTGAGTAGCATATTTCTGTCAGGCATACTTACTTCAACTTTGCCCAGCCAGATCTACTTAACACACACAAGCTTACTCATTCTTTACCGCGTAATAGATGGATGTAGTCTGATTGTAAACAGACCTTACATTTACCAGTAGCAATTGGAGACCAAGGTATTTGACATCTTAGCCACTTAAACATGGGGAGGCAAATACGTCAGAACAGACTTTCATTAATAATAATAATAATGAAATAATAATAACTGACCTAATAACGTTTGATACATGCCTCCCTAGCAATTATAGTGCCATACCTTGCCCAGCATCTTGCATTGGCTAGTTTTTTGTCCTACCCCAATTTCCAAAGGGCCCTCAAACCAAACATTTCATTAGTATCTGCCATATAAAAGGTATTTCTGCAGGCCTAGCTTGTACCACTTCACATGTACCACAGAATACTTCTTACTCTATTCACAACTACCAATAATTATTCCTGACAAGCACATTCCTATCAAAACATTTCTAACAGAAATACCCCCATTGTTCTCAAACCTTAAAATTTCAGTAAAAATCAGGGCATGTTAGGAAGAGAATCCTATACCCTCTGTTCTTTCACTACAGAGGGAGTTGTGAAAGTTTCTCACAGCTTCCCAGATTTATAGATTCTGACCTATAAATTGCTAGTAATCCAAATCCTTTATTTACTCTAGGAACTCCTTAGTCACTTGACTATTTCTGACCATACGCTGAAAATGAAGACACTTTGCAACATCAGCTCTCTCATTCAGCCCACTATATCAGCCTCTTTCCATTCTTTGCCTTTGAGGTTGTCTCTCGTTGAGCTCTCTAGAAATATCACTCTCAGATCAAAGCTGGGATTGGGCTCCTGTACCAGATCAATGCTCTTTTTTGCACAAGAGTAGTAGCCTACACACTCCTCTTTCATCTTCCTGTGGACACCTACATTTACAACACTGCCACATGATTTGCCATCCCCCATCATTTGTAAAACAGCCCAAGGATTTTCTACTTTCTAGTCCAGTGATGGCAAACCTTTTAGAGACTGAGTGCCCAAACTGCAACCCAAAACCCACTTATGCATCATCGGATGCTGGGGTGGCCCATTGGGTGGGTGTGGCCAATTGGGTGGGCGTGGATGCGATGGTAATGGCAGACTGGGTGAGACTAAAAAGTTCAATCAATCAATTCCAATTTTGCAAGATCTTTTTTTTTCCGCAAGAAGTTGAAATTGATTGATTGAACTTTTTTTTTTTGTACTTGGTGGCCGAGGCCTAAAGCAAAAAGATTTTATAAAACCAGCTGAAGGCCTAGGACTGGGACAACGGCGCTCGTGCCCATAGAGAGGGCCATAGGTTCACCACCACTGTTCTAGTCCAATCCAAGTTCAGATTCAGATCCAATTCCATATTTCATCTATGCAGTCTTATAGTCTAAGGAGTTTTACAACCTTTTCAGTCCATCAATAACCAGTTTTACACTTTCAATAAAGTACACATTAACTTTCAATAATGTGCATATTACTTTCTCTACTTCCTCTTTCTTATATTCATCTTACATTCCATTAACCTGCCAAATAAAATCTTGCTGAACTACCCTAAGAAAGATGATGGCAGCTAAGATAATTGGTTGGGTGCAATAAAAAAACCAACTATAAACCTTGTGAATATTTTCAGATTCTTTACTGATAACTTGCATTGCTTACTGAAGCAAAGATTACTATGTTCATATGATATGCTTAGTGAACCAACATTTACACAAGTTACCCATAATTCTGGGTTCATACAATACACTAACCATAAATTAGCTAGTGGATTTCATGCTAGTCAACTGTAACTGAATAGTTTGTAGTTCAGGATGTAATGAAAGCACAACTATAACAGTTGATTGAGTGGACTCCTACAAAATTACCAGATCGCCTACGTCAGTGGTTCTCAACATTTTTAATTCCGCGACCCCCAACCGGTCGTAAGTCAAGGACTACTCAACCGGTCGTAAGTCGAGGACTACTCAACTGGTGCAGCACCATTTGCAGAATGGGACTTTTGGCGGGCTCAGCAGGACAGAGACAGCCTGGACAATTCCTATTGGCTTTTGAAAGCCAATAGAATTAGACTCTATTCAAGAGAGTCTATTCTATTGGCTTTCAAAAGCCAATAGAATAAAAGAGAGTAGCACAGCTAAGGAAAAGGGGAAAAAAATGGCGGACTGCATTGTTTGGCGACCCCCGTGAAATGGTCGTTCAACCCCAAATGGGGTCCCGACCCACAGGTTGAGAACCACTGGCCTAGGTGTTATTTTAAATAGAAAATGGCAGACTTATCTCTACTTGAATTATCCTAATTACCTTTATAATTTAATGTACGGCTTGCATTCACAATTAATATGTAATTTTAACAAATGTCATCTGAGCTTAACTGGAATGCTGTTAATGCTGTCTCTTAACTGAAAAACATTGTTACATGCTCACAGGTAGCACAATAACCATTATTTGTTGCAGACGTACAGTAGTTCAACTAAGTTCACTATATAATATTAAAACGCGTTCCCCCGAAGGATATTGGGTAAATATTAATTTTCATTTTGAAAGAGCTTCTGAATATATCAGGTAGGATGTAGGGTAATAATCATCCCCCTCCTAACTTGGAAGATCAAGTTAACACCAACAATACATATACTGTGAAAGATAGACGCGGAGTGGGAAAAGCTCTACTGCTGTTATAAATATAATGTAGCTACCAGCCTATCGCGCGAATAGGGAAGGAGTAATTGTTTCATAAAGTTCACTAGTTCTTTCACGTGGTACGACTGAAATATCTTTTGGAAACAAGTGATTCGCACACTAATCTGTGCTGCATGCCTCCTAAGGGCCAGGACGGCGTAACAAAGAATCTCGAACTTAAGAAAACTCACCCTACTCTACTGTGTTGTATTTCTCTGAGAGAGCGTCTTAAAAGCCAAAGGCACCTTGAAAAAAACATTGGCTTGCCGCCGCCGCCGCCGCCGCCGCCATCGCATGCCCGAGAAGAAAACACGGACAAAAAACTACAAATCCCGTGAAGCTTTGAGAACAGATCTCGCCTAGAGGGAAAAGCGAAAGTCATTTGTAATCTCCGGGCAGAACCCTATGCGGCTTCCTCATGAACACTGGGAGTTGTAGTTCCAAACTACTTCCGTGGCCCTCCATCGGCGTAAAGGCAGACCCCGGATGCAGAGAAAAGCTTCTAGTGATTGGCTGAGTCCAAGGAGATATGGAGGGTTTCCGGTGCGGGCTGACTTGTTTGGATGCTGTCTTCACGTTATGGCGGCGCGCAGAGCCTTTCCAGCGTGTGTTTAAGGCAGTGCTGCCGCGGAGGCCAAATAGACTGCTGATCCTAAGCCGTCTGAAGGAAAGGAGGCGGTGGCGGCCCTACGAGTTGGTACAGGTGTATTCAAAGGTAAAATCTTGGGTTTTCTTTCCTACTTTGCTTATGGAGAAGGGCTCCAGTTGCAGGTGGTGTGCTATAGTTTCAGTTTGGGGAGGTATTTCTCCAATGTCTTTATATTCCCTTGGGAGAATGCCGCACCGGAGCAGGGACTGCTGGTGGGCACATCCTTCTCCTGGGAGAATCCGCAATAGAAAAAGGATTGGAAACTCGGAGCCATGTGCGCTTGTTCGCCGTGCTCTTTCTCCAACTAGCAAGGAGAGAAGAACACGTGGAGAGATGTCGAATCGAGAGTCGCCTTGGCTACTCGGTGCTCTAAGTCCGTCTGCCGCGAACTTCCCATTTATAAATGTCGATTCTGCTGCATCCAATCTTGATCAGTACTCTCGTGCGAAATCCAGTTTGCTGCTGTTGCAGTGAGAAGAGATGATGAGTCAATTATATGTGAACTCTTAAAAACAGGAGGGAGGGAGGGAGACGTTTGATACTTGAAACGACAGGCTGCTTGGGGCTTACCAGTTTGAAGAGATTGGCTTCTCTCTCTCTCTCTCTTTTTTTTTTTTTTAGGAAAAATCAGCTTGTCAAGGATAAGAAGCTGTCAAGGAGTAAACTCTAGCTGCAGTCTTCTCCTTTCTTCTGCCAACCAGAAGAGTTAGTAAAAGTACAGGGAGGAGAACAAAGTTAGAAAATTCCCCCAAGATCTCTCAATTGCCTGGTTGTCTTGAGTTCTGCTGCTTTTGGAGATGGAGAACCTGCAATCAAGAATAGGCAGCAGCTATTCTTTTCTGACTCATTCCTAGAACTAGGCCCACAGGGGCGATTAAAAAACAGTGGCATTTGCCTATTCATTTCTTTTCTCTCAGCAGAACAACCTAAAGAATTGACCATTGAAGGAGCACACCCATACTTTTTCATTCACTCTTTTCTATCTATACATGAACTAAATGTAAATAGTGAGCTTGGCCACAATATCCAGAAATAAATGACTTGCTTTCTTTAACTGAGTGGTGCAGAGTAAAGTAGAAAGTTAAAGAAAGATGGCTGTTGCTCCTTGAAGTAGAACTTGCTATGTCTGTGGCATTGCTGTGTTTTGTTACCTCACAAAATATCTCATGCATGGAGAATGTTGGTTAAAGTCCAACCAAGAAAAACTAGGTGTAAAAAGTAGGCCAGATGTGAAGCCATTATGGTGCTTGTTTTGTTAATGATGGTTAACAAATGACAGCCATTAGTCCTTGGTGCTCTCCAAACTTGCTTGATTGGTGGCAGATGTTCCATTACTTATGTAATATCATCACTACTAGCAAATGTGGGATTTGCTTCCTATTTATATACAGTAGCTTACCTGCCTGTAATGGGGGGGGGGTGTCTTTGTTGGTAGTTCTTTGATTATTAGGGTATTAAACTAGGAAGGAGCAAACCATATCCCCACCAACACTAACAGGACAAGCTACGATATATATCTATGTAAATAGGGAGTAAATCCTACCCAGGAGTAAGGAAATATTTGCAACCAAGCTCAGCACCAAAAATTCCACATTGGAATTCTGAGCTACATATATTCTCTTCTATTGGAACAGCTGTTGCATGTGATCATTATTTACAGCACAAATTCTCACTGGTATTGCAACCCTCAAACATGATCACTTATGAATAAAATTCATAGGCTTGGGGAGAGCAACAAATAAAATTTTGTAAGAAATAGTTGATTTGTTGTCTTTAGCCTTTCTCTTATCACTCAACTCTAAACATTTCTATTTTAAAAAGTAGAAATCTAAATTTTGGGAGATATATATACTAAATTTCATTAAGATGTTCACTTACAGAATCCTAGAACTGGAATTTAAAGAGATCACAAGCGGCATCTTAGTCCAACTTTCTGCAGTGTACAGGAAAAAAACCCATCCTTTGAGATGGCTATTTTTTTTTCTTTAAAACTACCAGAAATGAAGAACCCACAATCTCCAGAGTTATACTGCCTCACTTACAACACTTAGTGTTGTAATATTTTAATTTCAGGAAAAGTTTCCTTTTAATTAACCAAGATCTAGGTATCTCTTTATCATATACATTATTTCTGGACTTAGTTTCTCTGGCAATGGAACTTGATCATTTTCCCTATTGAATCCTTTTATGGGCCTGGACATAGGACTGAATCCCTCAGTTATCTTTTGTTCAGAGTGAATATGCAAAGCTCCTATAATTCCTATAGAAAGTTTAGAAATATCTAAACTTTTAAGGCAATTAAAACTTTCAGCTTGTTATAGCACACGTTTTTCGGGACTAGAAATTCAACCCAACTGAATTCCGTTGAAGGCGACACAGAGGAGAATCAGCCAGTAGCAACCTAACATTATAGGTGATTTAGGGCAAAGTGTAGAGAGCAAACATGAATTCGTGGCTTTTAAATCGAGCGAATAATAATATGCCGTCGTTTCGGTTTTCCGCGTTGCCTCGCCACGCTAGACGCTCATTTTCTCCGCAGAGATGGGAATAGGTGGTCGGCACTGCACGAATCCCTCCGCGTACACATTCTGCGTCTACTTTCGGGGCGGGGGTTTCAACCACAGCCGGGTGTTTGGGCGGAAGAGACAGGAAGTTCCTCCTGCGGCATTATTCTAATCCGCTTCGCTAAGCTTCCGGTTTCACAGTTCGGGTTCTTGGCGGAGGAGGTGGCTGTAGACGCTTTCTTGGTAGCCTGCTTATTCAGTCTCTTCTTCCCTACCTCCATACCTGGGCAAGAGCCCGGCGTTTGGCTGAGAGAGATGGGGCTCGTTATCCCACCGTGCCGCTTCTCATAGGAGCTCTAAAAAGCGGACCGGGGGGGGGGGAGTTTGTTCATAATCGGATGGAGCTCCTGTCTGTTTTTTCCTTTCGGCACAATTCTAAACGTTGAAGCAGTGAAGTTAAGGAGACTTGCCTCCAAGTAAGCATACGGCATTGCCCTAGGATCAACAAGGAGTGTGATTATTCCCATAGCATCTGCTCATCCTCTCCGTGCTGTATCACGTATAAACATGCTCAGTTTGTTGGTGAAACATACCTATTTTGGTGCCTTGAAAACTTAGAACAATGCGTTTTTTCTTTAATAATTTGAGTATATTTCTCTTCCCAGTGCAAGTTGATTACTGTGGAAAAATCAAAGATTTGTGGATTTAGAATTGGCGACTAGGATCAGTTGGAGGATAGCAAGCATACTACAAATACAATGCTACAGCAAGCAGAAACAAACTGTGACAGCAGAGAAAATGCAGATGCACAGGAAGTAGAAGATTACATTTCCAGAAACAGAAAACTGGTGGGGAAAGAATACTGTACCCAGGAGTTGCGAGAGGAAACTCCAGGGAGAGAAGAAATCCGTATTGGCCCACCTGATGGGCAGCAAGACTCAGAAAATGAGAAAAACAAAGAAAAAACTTTAGGTATTTATTGATATTGAAACATAGATTTTTAACATTGGTCATACTGTTCGTCTTTATTACATATTTAAAACTCCCGTGCTCTTAATAGCTATATGTCTTAAACTCAAATATTTTATTGAACCTTATTAAATTCAATTTTGATAATTAAATATATAGTGCTTTGCTAGCTCCTCTCTACATTTCTAAACTTCGTAGATAAAATGGATTTTTTATGTGGAAACTAGTATTTTTGCCCAGTGTGTTTATACTGTGATTATTCAGAAGTTTTTGTTGCCCATTCTCAGGCCTTGTCCTGTATGAAAAATGTTGTTGCTTTGGCTGAAATTTCCTCATATTTTACATTTTTTATTGTCAATATTCTAATCATGCTGCTCACTACTCTAATAATATTGTCTTGGTTGTAGGAAAAGAAGTATTGTTACTTATGCAAGCTTTAAACACACTTGCTACTCCAGAAGAAAAGCTAGCAGCACTCTGCAAGAAATATGCTGACCTGGTAATATATTTTAAATTTAATATTATAAACATGGATAGCATAATCAACCTTGACTGATCCTGGACAAACTAAGCAGGATTAAATCTGGCTAATATTTTAATGGGATTACACCAGGAAAACCCAGGATCGTAGACCAGACTGGGAAATCAAAGAAGCATTAGGAAACCACTGTCACATTGTCATGTCCCTCATAAGTTGGTGGAAGCTTGATTTTATATAAGCAACTACAAATTAATTCTGTCAAGAATATACCTAACTGGAATTTATCTAGTACATCTTGATTACTTAGAGTATTTAATATTAACAATAATGCAAAATTAAAGTCCTCTGGAAGGAAAAAACAAACTAAACAATTACCAAGTGTTTATTGTGTAATAAAATGTAATGCATTTGATAGCAGATCATTTATCTTTAGGACTCAGTGTCTTCCTTTAATGATCAAGAAATTAACATAGACAAATAGTATTTTTCCTATCCTATCCCGGTCTTTTGAAAAATGATTTTATTTCTTTATATAATCTAAACAGATTATATTATATTATATCATCATATAATCTAAAAGTCCAGGAAACACTTCCAGCTCTAAACATACGAGCGTGACTTAGTTTTCACCATACCATGTTCTGTGAATAAGATTCTCTGACTCTGATAAAAGTCAGCTGTAGAAGCTGGTGAAAAAAAATCCTGGTATCTCAGTGATAGGACAATCATTGTATGGCCTAGGATTGGAAGCAAAGCATGGAGCTGAAGTGATTTAATATCTTCATAATTTAAAAAGTGAACTAAACTCTAACAGATGTGCTACTTCCTGCATAGGTATCTTCACAAAATGCATTGGCATAAAGGAGTGTATTTGCTTGAACCAGTAAAATAACTCAGTGCTACTGATTTGTTGTTTTATACATATATGTGCATGCATAGCTGATCCTTTTCATTGGTATCCTAGCAGAAGACACTTTAAATATTTTTAAAATATACTTGACATACAAAAGTCACATTTTTAAACTGCAATTAAAGTTTATTATTTGGGAAAATAGAAAAAGAAGCCAGTGTTACCATAATAAAGATATGTGTAGTAAGAACTGAGTTAATAGAATGAACTGATTTTTGCTTCATCCTCCAGCATAGGTTACAGACTAAGGATAGATAAAACTGCATATTAGAGAAACTAACAAATTCAAATCACATGTTAGGTCTCAAATTGGAATACCAGAAGTTAAATATTCTCTTTAAACATAACTGATTTCAGATTTGTATCTTCTCTTTTTTTCATTTAGCTAGAGGAGAGCCGAAATGTTCAGAGACAAATGAAGATGCTGCAAAAGAAACAAGCACAGGTTGTAAAAGAGAAAGTACATCTACAAAGTGAACATAGTAAAGCAATTCTTGCACGTAGCAAACTGGAATCTCTGTGTCGAGAACTACAGCGCCATAATAAGACTCTCAAGGTTAGTTTTCTACAGTAATATATCAACAAAACTGAAACAAATAGTTCTCTTTAAAAAAGAAAAAGCCTGGATATAATGTTTTGGAGTTGTAACAAAATGGGACTAAGTGGAAGAGGATGAGCATCCTAGATAGGTTTGTATTTTTTGGTTCAGTATATACTTTAATCAGGTGTCTTTTCAGAATGGTTAAGATGTAGAGCTGCCTATTCCAAGTTGCCCATTCTTTCTTGATCCTGGTTTCCTCTATTTGCTAGCAGGAATTGGGATACTATGATGCTACTATTTGAATATTTGATATAATCTATCATGAGGCAATTAGAAAAAGCATTATATCCATGAGTAAATATTTTCAATTCCTATGAATAAATATTTCCTCTTCAGTTCACATTTTAAAAATGTTGGGATACCTTTGTTCTTTTTTTCTAGTTATTATAAATAGGAAAATAGTTTTATAGTAAATGATCACTTACAGAAGTTGGTTCCTTCCCTGCTTTTCTTGGAGTTTCATTTCTGTCACTGATTTTTCCCCAAGTTCCCCAAGTTTGTTGTGGGTGTGAGTATGCATGTAGATGAATGGTGGCCCTGTTATATATAAATTTATTATTGTATTTAGGGCATATGAATGTGAAATCTTTTTACTTTTTATGTATATAAACTGAGTGTGAATGTGTATTGAGTGTTTGGGGTATGAGAATGGTGGAGTCGAGGGTGGAGCCTGGTACCCCCTCTGCTGAGTGCAATAGCAAAAGTAGGGGGGGGGCAGGACTTACCCTTGGGCTTGGTTTGTATGGAAAGCGAGTCCGGTCAGGAAGGGAGAAGGCTGGTGAGGGTGGGGGTATTCCGGGGAGGGGAGAAGGTCGGAGCATCCCGGTCATGACTGGGATGGGCAGATATGGCGGGAGCCGAGGGGCAGGCCATCTTTGGGGAACGAGGACTCGCTATGTTAGAGCGATTCCTTGTTCCGGCCCCTCAAAAGGCTCATCCTGTAGTACTGGTGACAGGGGAGTACAGGGCCCTGATTGTAGGCTGCTGTTGCTTAATGCCAGGTCCGTTGTCAGCAAAGTCCCTCTTGTCCGTGATTTAATATTGGACAGCGGGGCGGACCTGGCATGTATAACCGAAACCTGGCTGGGCCCTGAGGGGGGTGTTTCCCTCTCGGAGATGTGCCCGGATGGGTTTGTGGTGCTTCATCAGCCTCGACATCAGGGCAGGGGTGGGGGAGTGGCAGTCATCGCTCGGAAGTCCTTGAGCCCTCGTGGGATTCCTGCCCCGGAGGTTGTTGGGTGTGAGTCCCTCCTATTGAAGTTGGGTTCACGGGTTCAGTTGGGCTTGTTGCTGACATACCTACCTCCCAGCTGCGTTGCAACAGCCCTGCCTGCGTTGCTGGAGTCAGTAGCCGGGTTGGCGGTGAAGTTCCCCAGACTTATAGTACTGGGGGACTTTAACCTGCCATCACTCGGCGATCGCTCAGAGGCGGCGCAGGAGTTCATGGCTTCCATGGCAACCATGGACCTGACCCAGGTAATTCAGGATCCAACTCATAGGGGTGGTCACACACTCGACCTTGTGTTTCTCTCGGGGCAATGGAGACATGATCTAGAATTAAGGGGAATAGAGATCTCGCCCTTGTCATGGACAGATCATTTCCTATTGAGGCTGGACTTCAGAGCATCACTCCCCCATCGCAGGGAGAGGGAGCCGACTAGGTGGTTCCGCCCCAGGCGCCTAATGGACCCAGATCGGTTCCAGGAGGAGCTTGGGGAGATACCTGACTCCCTTGTCCACAACTCGTCCGGGTCCCTGGTTGCGGCCTGGAATGATGTGGCGTCCGGGGCCCTGGATCGAATTGCGCCTTTGCGACCTCTCTGTGGTGGTGGTCCCCGGAGGGCCCCTTGGTTTACTGAGGAGCTCCGGGAGATGAAGCGCCACAAGAGACGTCTAGAGCAACGCTGGAGGGCCAGTAACTCTGAATCTGACCGGTCACTATTAAGAGCCTATCTTAGGACTTATTTAGTGGCGATAAGGGCGGCAAAGCGTGTTCACTTTTCCGCACTTATTGCGTCCGCAGAATCTCGCCCGGCCGCCTTGTTTAGGGTGACCCGCTCCCTTCTTAAAGTGGAGGAGGCGGAGGAACCCTTGCAGGGGAGAGCTGAGGAGTTTGTTCAGTTTCTCTCGGACAAAATCGCTCAGATTCAGAGAGACCTAGACTCCGACTGGGCAGTGCCAGCCGAGTTGCTGGGGGCTGGTCTTAGTCATGTTATCTGGAGCGAGTTTGAGCCTGTGACCCCTGTTGAAGTGGACAAGGCCGTGAGGGCAATGAATGCCGCCACCTGTTTATTGGACCCGTGCCCCTCCTGGCTGGTTTCTGCCAGTAGGGAGGTGACACGAGGCTGGCTCCAGGCGATAATCAACGCCTCCTTGATGGAGGGGTCTTTCCCGCAACCTTTAAAGGAAGCGGTGGTGAGGCCCCTCCTCAAGAAGCCTTCCCTGGACCCAGCTGTTTTGAAGAACTTTCGTCCCGTCTCCAACCTCCCCTTTGTGGGGAAGGTTGTAGAGAAGGTGGTGGCGTCTCAACTCTTGCGATCCTTGGATGAAACCAATTATCTGGACCCTTTTCAATCTGGTTTCAGGCCCGGCTACAGCACTGAGACTGCTTTGGTCGCACTGACCGATGACCTCTGGCGAGCCCGGGATAGGGGTTATTCCTCTATCCTGGTGCTTCTTGACCTCTCAGCGGCTTTTGATACTATCGACCATGGTATCCTTCTGCGTCGTCTCGGAGAGGTGGGGGTGGGCGGCACCGTATTGCGGTGGTTCTCCTACCTCTCTGACAGGTCGCAGTCGGTGTTGGCGGGCGGACAGAGATCGACCCCTAGGCGCCTCGATTATGGGGTGCCTCAGGGCTCGGTCCTGTCCCCCCTCCTTTTTAACATCTACATGAAACCGCTGGGTGAGATCATTCGGCGACACGGGGTGAGGTATCATCAGTACGCGGATGATACCCAATTGTATATCTCCACCCCGTGTCCTTTCAGTGAAGCAGTCGACGTGATGTGCCGGTGCCTGGAAGATGTGAGGGTCTGGATGGGGGTGAACAGGCTTAGACTCAACCCTGACAAGACCGAGTGGCTCTGGGTCTTGCCTCCCAAAGGCCAACTGGATGGTCCATCTTTAGTCCTGGGGGGGGGGCAAATTTACCTCCCTCAGTGCAGGCACGCAACTTGGGTGTCCTCCTGGACTCACAGCTAAATTTGGAACAACATCTATCGGCTGTGGCCAGGGGGACCTTTGCACAGGTTCGCCTAGTGCACCAGTTGCGGCCTTATTTGGACCGGGAGGCTTTACTCACAGTCACTCATGCCCTTGTCACCTCAAGACTGGATTACTGTAACGCGCTCTACATGGGGCTACCCTTGAAGGGCGTTCGGAGGCTGCAGTTGGTTCAGAACGCAGCCGCGAGAGCGATTGTGGGCGCGCCAAGGTACGCCCACGTGTCACCTATCCTCCGCAAGCTGCACTGGCTTCCTGTGGGTCTCCGGACGCAATTCAAGGTGTTGGTTATCACCTTTAAAGCCCTTCATGGCATAGGGCCAGGTTACCTACAGGACCGCATTCTGCCGCAGAGCTCCCAGAGACCGGTGAGGTCCCATAGATTGGGCCTCCTTCGGGTCCCGTCGGCCAGACAATGTCGGCTGGCGGGCCCTCGGGGAAGGGCCTTTTCTGTGGTGGCTCCGACCTGGTGGAATCAACTTCCCCCCGAGGTGCGAACTGCTCCCACCCTGCCGGCCTTTAAGAAAGCCGTTAAAACTCTCCTGTTCTGGCAGGCCTGGGGCTGATATCCCCGGGATATGATCGGACTCGCGGTATGATTGGATTATTTTATTGTTTTACGACTGTTTTTAATTTTGTATGCCGCCCTGAGTCCTTTGGGATTGGGCGGCATATAAATATTTGTAAATCAAATCAAATCAATCAAATCATCAAAATGGTTCTTGGTTTATAACATTAGGCCATGTTTGAATGTCGCTCATACAGACATCACTCTCAGTGATAAGCCATGATTTATCAATTACCTTAATTATGTTCATTTAGTGTACTAAGTTAATCAAATTGTTTTATTTGCTATTTCTCTAGGTTAAAAATTATTCTGAAGTCTTTTTAAAAAAACAAATTTTAAAGTATAATTAAATGGATATTTTTAAATATATACAGTTAAATAAATGATGCTTTAAAAAAACTCTGTAAAACCCTTTTAAACTATGAACTTTTGAAAAGTTTTAAAACTCTGTAACACAATACACCATTCTAAACTAGCCATGCCATAGTATCAAAGAAGGATTCTTCATGGTATCATTATCACTTTTGTAATTTCAATGAAGCTGGTGTTCTGTTCTTATCTCCTTCTGTGGAAATTTAACTTTCTAATAGATTCTATTTCACTATTGCTGAAATAAGAATCAATCTGATTTTGATTTTCTTAATCATCTTTTTTGCTCCTCTTGGCACTCTTTCTAGAGTCTCAATACCTTTCCAAGGCATTATAAAGTGAAATTAACACTTCACATGATCTTGATTCTGTCCCTCTGTTAATGTAGCCTAGGACTTCATTGGCTTTTTTTGACAGCTGCAGCACATTGTTGGCTCATATTTAAGTGGTTGTCCACTAGGACTACAAGATCCCTCTTGTAGTTACTGCTATTGAGCCAGATACCACCTGTTTTATACCTGTGCATTTGGTTTTTCTTGCCTAAGTGTAAAACCTTATCTTTCTCAACATTGAATTTCATTTTGTTAGATAGGGCTCATTGTTCAAGATCTTCTGGATCTTGAGCCTATCTTCTAGGATGTTGGCTATTCTGCCAGCTTGGTGTCATCTGTAAATTTGATGCATTCCCTACAATTCTTCATCTAAATAGTTTATGAAGATGTTACAGAGAGTACTGGGCCTATGTGATACTGTACTATTATGTGGACTTATAACAGCTAATTTGACTAGATTTTTTTCATGTTTGTCTGGTTGATATCAGGAACATGTCTTCTGTAGGGCGCAGTGTTCAACAAAGTGACTTCAAGTTAGAAACAGTTGGTCCCTCATTGCATAGAACAGTCAGCACTGAAAGACATGGACACTTTCAAGTTTCTCTGCTGACTTTCATCAGAAGCAATTCTAATTTGAAATGAAGTTACTTATAAGCAGCTTTCTTTTTCCAAGTTCAAGTCCACTGTTACCATATTTGTAATTTAGAAGCCTTATAAAAATGATGCCCCAGTTGCAATCAGAACTTTTAATGTATTGGTTCTGAAAATAAATCAGTCTTCATACATATTTGTCAGGTGAAACGATGAAAGAAATTGAAAACCAGTATAATTCTAATATTTTGAGATGTTAAGATGAAGCTGGGTTGCATTTTCTTACTGTGGCCAAAATCTAACTAAAAACATGTTTATAATTGGATTTTAATCTCTTTGGGGAAAAGGAAGAAAATATGCAACAAGCCCGTGAAGAGGAAGAGAGACGTAAAGAAGCAACAATACATTTCCAGATTACATTAAATGAAATTCAGGCACAGCTAGAACAGCATGGTGTACACAATGCAAAACTCCGCCAAGAAAATATTGAACTGGGGGAGAAACTGAAGAAACTTGTGGAACAGTATACACTCCGAGAAGAAGTAAGTAAACCATTCTAATAATATTTCATTACATTATAATACTCACAGTAAAACTTCAACAAATATCTCTCCAATGCTTAGGAACAGATTTAGGGAATAAGCTTCATCTACAGAGATAGATTAGGTGAAGAATTGGCCTAACATTATCCATTAAGCATCCGTGCTTATTGACGTTAGCTTATGTCTTCCCAAGCCTCCAAATCCAAATCACTTATATGTTTTACAGTTGAACATGGCTCATTATAAACAATGAAGTTCATGTTAGTTAATGATTGAAGGAGAGGGCACACGAAAGAAAACTAGCTTGTGGTTGGTTTTTAATTTGATTGTAGCTATGCTTTTCTCTAGCACATGGATAAAGTCTTCAAGCATAAAGAACTACAACAACAATTGGTGGATGCCAAGCTTCAGCAAACCACACAGCTGATAAAAGAAGCTGAAGAAAAACATCAGAGGGAGAAAGATTTTGTAAGTGTTTTTCAGAAAGCTTGAGATGAAAGAATTCTTTAGTAAGTTGTTAACAATATCAGTTTACACTTTTTATTGTTATAAGAACAAGCTGCAATCTATTTGGTTTTTGATTGTATTGTCAAGCTATACAGATTAATAGATTCTTAAATTATAAACAGCACATTGTGGAAGGATAACTTTGTAATAATACAATGTATAACATAGTTTTATGTATGCAGCTGCATGCCTGTTGACCCTCTTGCATTTTCCAAGTTACAGGTACAATTTTGCATAAGTGTGTACATATCAGAAATATAATCTGATATTAAGGTATCCTAGATAGAAAACAATATTTTCTTTTGTCCTCAGCTGTTAAAAGAAGCAACCGAATCTAGACACAAATGTGAACAGATGAAGCAGCAGGAAGCCCAATTAAAACAGCAGGTAACCAATTTAAATTGTGATTGGTAGCTTAGCTATTAATCTGATAAATGAACTTGGAGAAGTTTCTTAAAAATTGAAATTATTAAATTAGTAGATAGGAAGCCTAAAGCAATTCTTTGGTAAAGGAATACAATAATTAAGCAATTCTTTCCTAAAGCTCTAAGCTTCAGTGTCAGTCACCAGATACTAGTCACCCACTGCTGTTATAGCTTGAGGCTACATTAACAGGAAATTGCTTCTTTTTTTTTTATTGAAAATTTTTAGATTTTACAAAACAATACAAATCCCTTCCCCGAACCCCCCCAACCCTCCCCTACCCTCCCCCAACCTTCCCAGAGCTGAATACAGGCTTAATTAAAAAATTTTCAAAAAGTCTTAAAACAGATATAAACCATAAACAAGTCTAAATACATTGATTAAACAAGTTATAAAATAGTTAGCTATAATATATATATATATAAACAAAAATACAAGGAAATACAAGAAAATAGAAAAAAAGAAAAGAAGAAAAGAAAAAAAAGTGAAAAAATAAGTCTAAAAAGTCTATAAAGTCTATGAAATATCTTAAGTTTTAAATATACCGTATATTCCGGCGTATAAGACGACTTTTGAGAGCGATGAAACAGCCTCCGAACTCGGGGGTCGTCTTATACCCCGAGTCATTACGTTTATTTATTTATTTATTATTTCCGGCGTATAAGATGACGTTCTAGGCATGCGACTCGGTGTCGATCATCTTATACGCCGGAAATGACGTCATTTCCGGCGTATAAGATGATCGACACCAAGTCGCATGCCTAGAAAGTCATCTTATACGCCGGAAATGACGTTATAAACTACATTTATTTCCGGCGTATAAGATGACTTTCTAGGCATGCGACTCGGTGTCGATCATCTTATACGCCGGAAATGACGTTATAAACTACGTTTATTTCCGGCGTATAAGATGACTTTCTAGGCATGCGACTCGGTGTCGATCATCTTATACGCCGGAAATGACGTTATTTCCGGCGTATAAGATGATCGACACCGAGTCGCATGCCTAGAAAGTCATCTTATACGCCGGAAATGACGTCATTTCCGGCGTATAAGATGATCGACGCCGAGTCGCATGCCTAGAAAGTCGTCTTATATGCGACTCGGCGTCGATCGTCTTGCGACCCGGCGTCGAACTCGGGGGTCGTCTTATACGCCGGGTCGCCTAATACGCCGGCATATACGGTAAGTTATTAAAAAGCTAAGTGATATTTTTTTATATCCAACTTATATTGTATAAAGTCTATCCATTTTTTCCATACCAAAAAATACTTCTCTTGCGATTGGTCTTTCAAGAAAGCCGAAATCTTTGCCATTTCCGCCAAATAAGAAACTTTAAAAAACCACTCTTGCAAGGTAGGCAAAGATTCCTTCTTCCAACATTGCCCTACTAACAACCTTGCCGCTGTGATTAAATTTAACATCAATGTAGTCTCTTTAGTATCACAATCAGTAACAATACCTAACAAAAACAATTGTGGGGTAAATTTTACCCTTCTTCTAAAAATTCTTTGGATATTCCACCATATCTTAATCCAAAAAGCTTTTATGTTTTTACATGACCACCAAATATGATAATAAGTAGCATCCAAACATCCACATCTCCAACATTTAGGCTGTAAGTCAGGATACATACGAGACATTTTTTGTGGATCAATGTGCCATCTATAAAACATTTTATAAAAATTTTCCTTTAAATTTTGGGCTTGTGTAAATTTAACATTCCTCACCCAAATAGTTTCCCAAGTATCTAATAGAACCGGTTCTTCAAAATTTTGTGCCCATTTGACCATGCATTCTTTAACTAATTCTGCTTCTGAATCCAATTCTACTAACACCCCATAGATTCTCTTAATATGAGTTCGTCTTTGATCTTTTATTTGTTTTAATAAATTCTCATCTTCTCTAAGTAAACCCACATTACAATCTATCTTCCACCTCTCCACTATTTGTCTATAATGAAACCATGAATAAATAATATTTTCTTGTATTAAATCTTCCAGGGATTTTACTTGCCAATTTTTACCATTCCATCTAAGTAGTTGTGCATAAGAAACACTATCCATCTTGACTCCTCTCCTTATCCCTTCTATCGCATGCCCTGGTATAGCCCATAACGGAATTTTAAAATCACTTCTATAATATTTCCTCCAAACTCGAAGTAAGGAAATCCTTATAATATGAGATTTAAAGACCCTATCAACCTTTTTATTAAAAATTAAATAGGCATGCCATCCAAAAAGTAAATCCCAACCCTCCAAGGGGAGTATTTCTACATTTGTTAAATTAACCCAATCACTTATTGATGTTAAAGCCACAGCATCATAATACAATTTCAAATTCAGTACCTTGAGTCCACCTCTCTCTCGAATATCCTGTATAATTTTAAGTTTTACTCTTGGTTTTTTCCCTGCCCAGATAAATTTGTTAATACCTTTCTGCCATTCATTTAAATTAACCTCATTCTTTAAAATAGGTATCATTTGAAACAAGAAAAAAAACTTTGGCAAAACATTCATTTTGATCGCCGCAATTCTTCCCAAAAGAAATAATTGCAACTTCTCCCAATTTTCCAAATCTCTTCGTATATTGACCCACAGCCTTTCATAATTGTTTTTATACAATTTTGCATTAGAAGCAGATAAAATAACCCCCAAATATTTTACCTTATTAACAACCTCAAAATCTGTCAACTTAACCAAGGTCTGCTTGTCCAAATTAGTCATATTTTTAGGCAATATTTTAGTCTTATTATTTATTTTAAAACCCGAAACCTTTCCATACTGATGTATTAATTGTAATAACTCTATTACAGAATGAGTAGGTTGAGATAAGGTAACCACCAAGTCATCTGCAAAAGCCCTTAATTTGTATTCTTTTTTATTAACTTCTATTCCTTTTATTTGCTGTGATTCTCGAATTTTAATCAACAATATTTCCAAAGTTAAAACAAACAGCAATGGTGACAATGGACAACCCTGTCTAGTCCCCTTCTCTATTGCAAACACCTCTGACAAACCCCCATTAACTATAAGTTGTGCCGTTTGCTTTTGGTAGATAGCACCAAAAGCTTGTAAAATTTTTTCTCCAAAATTCATTTTCTCAATTAATCTTAACATGAATTGCCAATTCAGCTGATCAAAAGCTTTTTCAGCATCTAAAAATATCAATCCTGCAGAAACTTGATTGTTTTTATCTAAATATTCTAATAAATTAATAATCTGTCTGACATTATTCTTCATGTACCTTCCGGTTATAAAACCCGTTTGGTCCATATGTATTACATGATGCAAAACCCTCATAAGCCTGTTAGCTAAGATTTTTGAAAAGATCTTATAATCTACATTTAAGAGAGATATAGGTCTATAATTCTTTGGTAAAGTGAGGTCTTGATCTTCTTTTGGAATCAAAGATATAAAAGCTCTACCCCATGACGGGGGAATCTCTGAACCCTGTAGTATATTATTAAAAAGCTCACTTAAAGGTTGAATCATCTCTTGTACCAATGTTTTGTAATAAATAGATGTCAAACCATCCGTACCCGGTGCCTTACCTAATTTTAATTCTTTAATTACTGTCTCAATCTCCTCACTGGTAATCAAACCATTAATTTCTTGTTTCTGATCTTCTGTTAATTTAGGAAAGTTGGCTTCATTTAAATAATTATCTCTATCTAAAACCTGTACTTTAGTACTCATATATAATTTTTGGTAATAATCTAAAAAGGATTTCTTAATCAACTCCTTCTGATATACCAATTTACCATTATAATTTATTTTATCTATAGTTCTCTGTCTCTGCCTCTTTCTCAATTGATAAGCCAACCATCTCCCTGGTTTATTGGCATTGCAAAATGTATTTTGTTTCATATACAATAAATTAGTTGCAGTTTGATCAGCCATCAACATATTAAATTGTGATTTAAGCAATTTTATGGATTCCTTAACCTTCTCATCTGTAGGATTTAAAATCAAAGCTTTTTCTTTTAATTTAATTTCATTTTCCAACTCCTTACGTTTCTGCATCTGCTTCTGTCTATAAACATTGTTCATTTGTATCAAGACCCCACGCATGTAGGCTTTACCTGCATCCCAGACCATTGACATTGAAGTTCCCTTAACAGGAAATTGCTTCTGTAACCCTTAAGTTTATGTGGTTAATCTTACCTCCAAAGTAATTCAAGTTGTTGCAGGCCAAGTCCATTTAAAATATGTATATTTACTGGCTGATTTCATAGACAAACCAGATTGAGAAGAGGTTTTTTTATAAAGAGCATAAATATAGAATTCATATACAAAATAGACAATTACAATTATATTTCAATTTTATGGCAATTTGTCTTGATGTGACAGGGAAATTATTTTTCCCAAAGTAGCTCTATTTTATTCATCCTGCTATGTAGAACTCTTTTTGCTGAAATACTATATCAGATGAACTTCCAAAAATTATGTGATAAACCCACTTACAAAAACACGTTTTAAACTGTCCTTGAAAATCCAGTGGATTAATCTTTATTCTTTTATTGTTCAGCTAAAATCTGTCCCTACAAAATTATTCATGTCTTCATCTGTTTAGTTAACATATTCTCTTCTTTTATTTCTTTGTTCCCTTGTTCTAACCAACACTCCCCACAGTGCTTATCCTAAAGTAAATATATAGTCAATATAAAGAAATAGCACAAAAAGCAAGCCACTAATTGCACAAAACTTTCCTGTACTTGTGTTGTTATTTGATTGTGAATTTATTGTATAACCAATATTCAAATTATTTTGGGGAGAATTAAAAAATGAAGTAAAAATATGATTCAGTGCAGATAAAAGGATGTATTTAAGGTGATATATACATGTTCTTACTAAGTTAAAATTTGTATTTTAAGTTCTTATTTTAGTATAACATTATGAAGGCATGTTTTTGGGTCGGACTTTGGAATGAAACTACATAAGGATGGAAATCTATTTCATCACACCAGTGTTTTTGAGTGTGTTATTTTGATATAATCTTATTACAGAGACTTGTACCTTAGCTTTTATCTTTTGAACGCTAATGGGTCTTTAAATCAATCTAGACAATGTACACTTTCACATAAGACCAAATCATCTTTTAATTTTTTTTTTTGCTATTTTCTACACAATATCATCTGTAATGAGTAACTAGTGTATTATGTAAATAATTCTAAATTATGTCTCTAAATTAGATTTAAACATTGTTACTTTTAGCTTTCTCTTTACATGGATAAATTTGAGGAATTCCAGACAACTATGGCAAAGAGTAATGAACTTTTCACAACTTTCAGACAAGAAATGGAAAAGGTACTTTATTTACTTATCTATTTGCCACAAGAAAAATTTGTAATGTTTCTGATTGTCTATGTATTAATGGATAATTAAACGTCACTGAACTCGGTGGAGTTCACTTCAAGGAATGACAGATATATCCAGTTGAATCTTCTCTCCTTGGAAATTATATTTGTTTCATCTCATCTGAACACTACTTCATGCATTACCTTGAGTTTTTTAAACATCTCACCTGTTTTTGAGATCCTTTTCCATTCCATCATTTTTTTTTTTCATTTTCTCTCATTTCTCTCATTTCATTCACTAATTTTGACTTTATTATATATTTCATCCCTGTTCAGTCTCCTGCACTTTCCCTAAATGTGATGGGCATTCACCTTTCTATTAAATTCACATTCATTCAGTATCCATTCATTCAAGACTCTCATCACTTCTTATTTTATCACACATATTTAACTACCTATTCCCATGCATTATTTTTATGTCTCTTCTGACATGCCTAACTCTCCGTTCCATAGAGCATATACAGAAGTATAATTTTCAATACAGTACAATATCCAGCTAGTGTGCGGTCCTGCTCACAGAAACACTGTGGTTTAGTGGGTTTATTAATATTCCTCCACAATTCTCTCCACCAAAAACCCAGAACTGTCCCAGTTAAGTCCATCCCCAAGCAGACCAATGCTAGTCAACAGAGCAATGGCCAATGAGTCCACAAGGCAATTGAAAGTTTCCCAATCAAAATAAACCCATCAGGCAAAATTAAATCCATAATACAAGAGGGTTCACAAGGCAAGAAAAGTCCAGAGTCCCAAGGACACAATTCAAGTCAAGGCATGTTGTCAATCCAAAGCAAGAATCACAATAACCAGAAAACACACTTCTTTTTACAAGAAATCTGGCTGATCTTCTCTGCTCCTGCCTTTTCTCTGCCCTATGTGTTCTTGGATCAGGTGCAGAAGGCAGTTCCTCTTCCTCATTACTGACCAGCTGCAGCTGCATGCTTTTTCCACCTGAAGCTTCAGAGCTATCATGCTGCAGCTGTGCTTCAGCCAAATCCCTCTCAGACGGCTGCCTGGGGCCATTAACTAACTCCCCTCCAGACATGCCTGGAACTGGTTCATCTTCCTCTGACCTGATATCTGGAGAGATGTCTGGGGAAGGATCCGGGGGAATCGTCATGGCTATTTTTAATTATTTCAATAAACATTCATTTCTTGCAACAGACAACATTCTATCCACTACCTTTCTCTTGAAATTGTACACCTTATTTTCTTTCCCATCTTTAGTAAAAAAAATTGTCAAAATGTACAAATTTATCTATTTTCTGTTTTTTGCCATTTGTGTGAAATTTGCAATCATTTACCCAGTTATCTCAGTCTTTGGTTAATTTTCTCATGCATGGTGCCAATTTTATACAATTATCTTAACATTTGCTATAAATTATTTGGGTTCTCACCATTTATTTTTGTTTGTAAAATGATTATATACTTTGTTTTAAATCTTGTGAAAGAAAAGCAATTAATCTTTTTAAAATAAAAACTAGATTTAATCTCAAGAGACTGAGCAATCTGGGTACTGCAGTGAGAAACAGTAGATTAAAATGTTCATTTACAACTATTTGCTAAAAATCAGTGTAATTAATTTCAGATGACCAAAAAAATAAAAAAACTGGAAAAAGAAATAGTAGTGTGGCGTACAAAATGGGAAAACAACAACAAGGCTCTTTTACAAATGGCTGAAGAAGTGAGTATCGATTTCCATTCTTAAAAATCAAAATTCTATTTTTAGTTCTTATTTTATAGTCTGAACTAAATGAAACTCAAAAGTTACTCAGTGATTAATTATAAAACAGTATTTCAAAGAATATAATGTGACTTACAGGGTCTGCTTATATTTTACATTGAAATTTTGCTAGTGCTACATTCCATAAAAAGATGTTGCCATCTTCATAATAAAAAATGTATTTCGTTTGTATCTGAATGTTTTCAATCATCAGGAAAAACACAAAGTTTTTTGTTTGCACAAAATAAGTTGTATATCACTTTTATTTAAACCATCTAGTGATAGGGAGTTGCAATAAACTCTTCAGATTAAAGAAGGGGACTTTTATATGGGAAAATAGAACTTGAATATACCAAGAAAAGGGAATTGGAATTGTGGTCCTCTTAAATGACAGATTTTGAAGCCATAACTGGCCAATAAAAAGGTTTTGTAGTTTCCTCATTGGCTGTTTTAATAGAATTGAAATACATTGTGTAAGATTCTTCTGGGTTCTCTATACTATCTTGTTTATTACAGAAGACCGTTAAGGACAAAGAATACAAAGGTTTCCAAATAAAACTGGAGCGTTTGGAAAAGCTATGTAGAGCTCTTCAAACAGAAAGAAATGAGTTAAATGAGAAGGTGGAAATTCTTAAAGAACAGGTTTCTTCAAGAGAAGCAGATGTGGATCTAGCTGTACCTGTATTGCAATCATGCACGCTCAACTCTCATGAGAAGCTGGAGATTTCTACTAATAAAGAACAAGAAGGAATCCAACCAGATATCGAAACAAGAGCGGCAAATGAAGGCTCTGAAAAAACTGTCAATTTGGTTTCCATTCCTACCACAGATTTTGTTGACTAAAATGTAAACACTGTGTTAAGAGATATATTTTGTGTATAACTTTAACTGGTGGTGGTAACTATTAGTTTTGTGGTGAAAATTTTCTTACTTTTTCTACCATATCTGTATTTTCTTAGAACAGAACAGAATTTGCCTGGTACAGGAAGCTGCATAGCAGCTATTGAATAGCTTATCTATAAAAATAATCCACAACTATATTGCACATTTGCATTTTTTTTACAAAAGAACCCCATTAAGGATGCATGCAGTGTTTTTCTTCTTATCCAGTAATGCATTACTGTGTCATCTAAGACCCACATACAGTTTTGTCATCATGTTAAGGGAACAACTTCGATCAGTCTTTGATTGAGCTTAAATCTGTGTAGTAAATTAAAATTTAAAGCTGAAATGAGATTACCAAGCAGGCCAGTAAAATACATTGTGGCATGTGACTGGCCATACTGATATGAAAAAGCTGAATAATCTTACAGGGTTTAGCGTAACTGCTAACTTGCTCACAGCCATGATTTAACCTTGCAACTGGAAAAACAGGGTGTTACAATTCATATTTCTCAGGATTGTCTGATAGTCAATATAAATTAAGTAACTGTTCTTTCTGTTAAATTGAAGGAAATAAGGCAGAAAACAAGCATTGGTAATTTGTCTAAATAGTCACTAACCTAAATCTGGATGTATTTTGAATGCACTACTCTTGTTGCAATGATTTTTTAAAAATGAGCTGTAATATAAAAACTGGTCAGCTTATTAAATGCAAGAAGATTTTTGGTAGTGGTTGCTAGATTAAAATATATAATCTATGGGACAGGGCTTTTGGGGAATTCTTTTTTTGCCTACTTATTAGTGTGAAATAGTGAGCATATATAAATGCACCATCATTTAAAAATGATTGCAATGAACCACAGTACAGGAAATCCTAAAGTGTATATTTCATAAGATACACATTCTTATAAAAACTGGTTTATCCATGATAAAGTGAATAAATTATATAATTTCTGTAATCCAAAATACAGGAAAAACATTCTGGTCTCAACTATTACTTTTGTAAAATGAAATGTCTTACTAGACAAAACATACACATAAATGGAAGTGCCTTCTGATATCTGAGTTACTTTGAATTTGGCACTTCAGTATTTATGTTCTAATAAATGCACAGCATACAAGACTATACTTTTTTATGGTTAAAATTATGAATGTAGGTCAGTTGCAAAAGTTGAGGTATCTCCCATAATCTGATTTTTTTTTTTTTTTTTTTAATAAAAAAGGGACCAAAAGAATGCTGCTAGGTTACATGCTGCTGTTAACTCTGCCTACATACAGTATATCAGCTTTCTAGTTGTTCTGTTTGGAGAAATGTAAAACACAACAAATTCTGGTACCTAGTTTGGATTCATTTTCTTGAAGTTTTTCTTATTTAAGTACATTATTGATAAATTCTCTCTTTATCTGCCTGTGTACTCTTCTCACAGTTTAGTTACAAATTATTTGAATTTGAAGCTTTACTGATTTATTATCCTTCTTATATATTACAATATACAACATCCTAATTGAAACAAAGATTGAAGAAAACCTTTGGAATATTTTGAGCAAAATCACTTAATATTAATAGTGTACTTGGAAAGTCCTGAATTGGAAACTGGCCACTTGTGTTTTGTTTCTTAAAATATATTTGCATTTTCTTTTGTATGAATTCCAAGTTCTGTAAGGTAAGCTGTTGATGTATAGTGGAAAATACAAAATACAAAGCCCAATTACGCTGTCATCAAATCTACAGCTATAATTGCAAACACTTTCAGCTTGTAAAAGAGCACAAAACAGCTGAGAAATAGGATAGTGAAGCAAATGCATGTTGAAAGTAAAAACTGCAAAAATATTCCCTGGCAGATATTATATTTTAATTAGTTTTACCTGTGGCTGCAATTGGTCTAATTGTAGGCAAGGATAGGGTTTGTTTAACCAGTTGCAATTATAGATGCATAAAATGAAGCTATTGAAATAATGACGGCTTTTCAAAAAAAACTTGCTCATGCAATTTTTCTTCAGTCTAAATGTGGGTTTTTAAAGTCTCAAACATTCCATGCATTGAACAATAGAGGGCTAGTACAGGACAAGCTCATTACTTGTCTCTTTTGCCATACAGTGGTATGCTGCACTGCCATTTTCTGTTGATTTGTTCAATGTATTTTAGTTATACAGCTCATGCTTATTATAGGCAGCTAGCTGTGTGTAAATTGATAATCATGTGCTTATAAAAACTGAAAGCTATTGCTTATACCTCCAGTACTTTATACCTGCAGTTGATTTGCATCCAGTGTGTTCAGTATAGGGGTGCACAATTTTTACTATTGTGTAACTTGGGCTTCAGATAATAAATAGCTAAGCCCTAGAATTCTTTGGAACATAAGTATATACATGCACATTTTAGGGCTGAATCTTTCTAATTCATTCTTTTCTTACACCTGGTTTTGTTGCAGTTCAATTCTCAGGTGTTACAGAAAATCTACCTCTTCAGACCATAGATGGAAATAACTGTGAAAAGTGATGCAGAACTTTAGCTTGTGCTGAATGCTGCTTTATTATTGCAACCCATACCCATGAAAAATGCTGACTAAATAGGCACTCTTGGTTTTTGCTTTTCAGGAACATTTTGTAGAAATTTTTCACTAATGTGAAACTGAAATTTTATCTACTCCGTTCTGTGTAGATTAAGTAAATATGTGTGCTTAATATATTAGACTCTTGTGTATTTTATTCTAAATTAAGATTGATTTTGTTTTTCTCAACATCAATTTTTTTCACAGATGTATAATCATCATCACATTGTTGCTTGAGTTAAAATGCCTTAATTGTTATGATGACATTCAGTTTTGTGTCTCTGGTTTGGTACCAAAAAAAGTTAGAATAGAAATTAAAACTCTTGAGAGTTGAGTGCCTGAATGGAAAAAATGTCTCCTGTAGATGATGACAGTACTATGATTCCTAATGTTTACTGACGAAGAACCTTATAGCCTAAAACCTCTGAAATTTCTATAGCTTTACATTGCTTCTGAGACAAGCGTCAGGAGTCTTATGCACACCTCTAAATTAGCTATGCACGGCTAAGAAATAGGGAGATGTATGTGTTAAAATGTGCTATGAACCTCTACTGTGCAAAAGTTGAAAGACCTATGTGAGGAGGGTTTACTTAATATAAGAAATTGAGAGCATCCTTGGCTGCAGGAGATTAGTGTAAATATTTGAACCACAAAGCAAGATATAGTCCTGTAAAAGATTTCAGTATTATGGAAGGAATTTTCAAAAGCTACTGAAGTTATTCTGTTTCTTTCTCCCTCAGAATTAAAAATGAATGGGAATCTGACATCACCGCCTAAAACTAACAGTTCTTTATCATAGTTCAGATAGGCTGCCATTTAAGTTTAATCATATACTGGATTATTTAGCTGAAAGGCATCCATCTAATAATAATAATAATAATAATAAAGTTGGAAGGGACCTTGGAGGTCATCGAGTCCAGGAGGCAGGTTGTTCCACTGGTTAATTGTTCTAACTGTCAGGAAGTTTCTCCTTAGTTCTAGGTTGCTTCTCTCCTTGATTAGTTTCCATCTGTTGCTTCTTGTCCTGCCCTCAGGCACTTTGGAGAATGGCTTGACTCCCTCTTCTTTGTGGCAGCCCCTGAGATATTGGAACACTGCTATCATGTCTCCACTTGTCCTTTTCTTCGTTAAACTAGACATATACAGTTCCAGCAACCGGTTCCTCATATGTTTTAGCCTCCAATCCCCTAGTCATCTTTGTTGCTCTTCTCTGTACTCTTTCTAGAGTCCCAGCATCTTTTTTACATCGTTGTGACCAAAACTGGATGCAGTATTCCAAGTGTGGCCTTACCAAGGTATTGTAAAGTATTAATACTTCACGTGATCTTGATTCTATCCGTCTGTTAATGCAGCCCAGCACTGAGTTGGCTTTTTTGGCAGCTGCAGCACACTGCTGGCTCATATTTAAGTGATTGTCCACTAGGACTTCAAGATTCCTCTCACAGTTACTACTATTGAGCAAGGTACCCCCTATACTATACCTGTACATTTGGTTTTTCTTGCCTAAATGTAGAACCTTACTTTTTTCACCATTGAATTTCATTTTGTTAGATAGCACCCAGTGTTCAAGTCTGCCCAGGTCCTCCTGTATCTTAAGCCTGTCTTCTGGAGTGTGGGCTATTCCTGCCAGCTTGGTGTCATCTGCAAGTTTGATGAGTTCCCCATCTATCCCCTCGTTCAAATCATTGATGAAGATGTTGAAGAGCACTGGGCCTAGAACAGAGCCCTTGGGCACCTCACTACACACTTCACTCCATGTAGATGCAGTTCCATTGAGGACCACACGCTGAGTACAGCCGGTCAGCCAGCTACAAATCCATCTGATGGTGATGCTGTCTAACCCACATTTTTCTATCTTGTCAAGTAGTAGATTGTGATCTACTTTATCAAATGCCATACTGAAGTCCAAGTAAATTATATCCACGGCATTCCTCTGATCCACTAATTTTGTCACTTGGTCAAAGAATGCAATAAGGTTTGTCTGGTATGATCTGTTTTTGACAAACCCATGTTGGCTTTTAGTAGTGATTTTGTTTGCCTCTAGGTGTTCGCTGATTCGTTGTTTGATTATCTTTTCCAGAATCTTCCCAGGTATTGAGGTCATGCTGGTAGGTCTGTAATTTCCTGGATCCAGTCCCCCCCCCCTTTTTTGAAGATGGGAACTACATCAGCTCTTTTCCAGTCCTCTGGTAGTTCCCAGTGCTCCAAGATCTTTGAAAAATATAGTTCAGTGGTTCTGAGATCACATCTGCCAGTTCCTTGAGAACCTTGGGGTGTAATCCATCTGGTCCTGGTGATTTGAACTCGTCTAGATTGGGCAGGTGCTCATTTATCATTTTCTTGCCTATCTTAACTTGTGTTTCTATATTGTTTTTATGGCAGTATTTTTGATAGGTTGGTCTGTTTTTTCCCTTTGTGTAAAGACAGATGCAAAAAACGAGTTAAATAGTTCTGCTTTCTCCCTATTGCTTGTCACCTTCTTGCCACTTTCGCCCACTAATGGACCAATCATTTCCTTCACTTTTTGCTTGTTTTTTAACATGTTGAAAGAAGCTTTTTTTGTTATTTTTGACTTTGACTCTCACAAAATATTTTAAGTCTTAAAGCCTTTTTAAAGATTTTAATTATTGCATAATAACATATTCAATAACAAGACAAAATGTAAGTTACCTTCTAAGACTAAATTTATTTTTCCCAAAGCACTAACCTCTATCCCATTATTTTGAATGATAGCCTTCCACCTAAGAGAAATACTCATTACCAAAAAATGAAAGGGCTAGGGTTATTCTGGAAAAAAAGAATAAAAGGAATAGAATTTTTATTTAACTTGATGACTGAGAGTAGGATTCAGTCTTACATTGCTTCGTGTATTTCCTGATCATTATTCAGTTCAAGCAAACACCGGTAATTTTAAACAATATACAGACATCTGAAAATATTAAAATGTATAGTTTATGAAATTATTGTACAATTACAAAGTTTTAACTTTATATGGATTATGGAATAGCACAGTGATGGCGAACCTTTAGAGACCAAGTGCCCAAAACCCGCCCCATCCCCTGACCCACACCCGCCCCGATCTACCCCACCCCCACCCGCCTGCAGGGCCACCCACCACCTCCACAGCCTGCCAAAGGAGATCGCCCAGGCGGCCCTGCAGCATCATGGCCAAGCCCTCCACCTGTGCCCCACAGCATCATCTGTGCATAATGGGGCACGAGGGCGGAGTCTTGTCCCTGCTGCCCGGCTGCCATGATCTTGGCTGCGCTGCTCCACACAGGGCGATTCTCCTCCGGGGCGGCTGCTGGTGAGGGGGCCACGGGGAGGTGGGGCTGGAGTGACAGCATGTCTGTCGGCTCTGAGTGCCGCCTCTGGCACGCGTGCCATAGGTTAGCCATCACTGGAATAGCATATAGTGAACTCCTTTTCTAGGGGTTTGGAAATAGGCAGAATTCTATAAGAAGAAGAAGAAGAAGGAGAAGGAGAAGGAGAAGAAGAAGAAAACCCTCTAACTAAAGAAATAAAAGAATTGAAACAAAGAATAACTGAGCATCTAGAACAGCACAAAAACAACAGAATAAGGCTGCCTGCATTGAAGCTTGTTCCAAAGAAACAGCTAGCACAAGCATTAAAAGATGCAAATACTGCAAGATCAAGTATAAGCACCAATTCACTGCAAGAAACAAACCAACTAATGTACAGCACAGCTGCAGTTATAACAGAATACCTGGGATGCAAAATCAACAAAAAAGAAAAACAAACAAACAGTGCACCAGAAAAATGGAAGGTTAGACTAGAAAAAAAGATCAGCAAGTTAAGATCACATGCAAGCAAGCTAGAACAGATGAAAGAAAAGAAGCTGAAGAACAAGAAGACCAAAGAATACCTAATCAAAAAATACCACTTAGAAACAAGGAAGATCAAGGAAGCACTGGAAATAATAAAGCAACAAATAACAGCTATAGCCAGGAAAATCAGTAGATATGAAGCTCGAATTGCAAAATATAGGCAGAACCTCCAATTTCAATCCAATCAGAAATGTTTCTACCAATCCATCAATGGAGAAACTGCAAGGAATCAGTCAGTACCCGACAAGGAAGAAACAGTGCAGTTCTGGAAGCAGATATGGGATAACCCAAAGAAATACAACAAGGATGCGGCTTGGTTAAAAGAGGTGGATGCAAATAAAACAGAAGCTGAAATGAAAGAACTAGTAATAACAACAAAAATGGTAGAAAAAAGAGCAAGGAAAATCAAAAATTGGTCAGCACCAGATGAAGATGAACTGCATTGGTTTTGGTTGAAACATCTAACTGTTATACACCCACTCATTGCCAAGCAGTTCGACAATATACTACAAGAAGGAGAAATTGAAAAGTGGCTAACAACTGGGAAAACCTACCTAATAATGAAAAATCCAGCAAAAGGGGCAACACCAGGCAACTACAGGCCAATTACCCTGCTTACCAACAACTTTCAAATTAGTAACTGGTGTGGTAGATGATGCAGTACAACAGCATCTAGTTGAAAACAATCCCTTTCCACCTGAGCAGAAAGGAAACCGCCCCAATAGCAGAGGAACAAAAGATCAACTCCTAATAGACAAAATGATCTTGGAAAACTGCAAGAGAAGGAAGACCAACATGAATGTGGCATGGATTGACTACAAAAAGGCATTTGACTCTCTGCCACATGATTGGATAATCAAGTGCCTAGAAATAACAGGAGTAAGTAGAAACATCAGAAAATTTGTGCAAAGATCGATGGCACAATGGAAGACACAGTTGCAGATCACTGGTGAGAGGCTGGGAGAGGTTAATATCAAGAGAGGAATATTTCAAGGAGATTCATTATCACCATTACTATTTGTTATTGCACTGTTTCCTCTGTCAACAATACTGAATAACTCAGGACATGGCTATCAAATATCAAAAACATCTACCAGACTATCCCATCTCCTTTACATGGATGATCTGAAGCTGTATGGAAAAACATCATCTGAAATAGAATTGCTGTCAACACTGTCCGTATATATAGCCAAGATATTGTTATGGAGTTTGGCTTGGACAAATGTGCCACACTTACTATCAAACAAGGAAAAGTAGTGAAAACTGAAGGAATCAAGACGCCTATGC